ACAGCTCTTATCCAGCTTTTTGCCCACCAGCATCCCCAGATCTTTCTTGGCAGGGCTGTTCTCAATCCCTTAATCCCTCAGCCTGTGCTGATACTGGGGCTGCCCTGACCCAGGTGCAGGACACTGTACTTGGCTTTTCAAACCCCATGAGGCTCATATGGGCCCATTTCTCTTGTCCTAGATGGGGTCACACTGTGACTGTATGTGTAAGTCTGTAAAAAAGAAGCTCTAGTACAAAGGTACTTCAAAGAAATTCTAAGTTCAGTCAAGGAGAGAAATGTCTTTCTGCATTTTCTCCATATGTGACAAGAACATTGAAATACCAGCACAACAGATATGCCCCAGCTGTATAGATTCAAAGCACCATGAAGGCACTGAGATAAGGCTGTAAGAAGTGCCCTGTATGCACACACTACATACACTACACATCTTCACCACCAGCTGCTTCTTCTAGCTGCTGTTCATCATCACTGGAAGCTAATTAGCTTAAGGCCACAGAAAACACCTATTATAAGCTAAAAGGGAGAGAGAAGGCATCCCATCCTATCAAATGAATACAAGGGAATGTAAGTTGGGAAGGAAAGAGAACAAAGGATGAAATTAAGGGTTTCTAAAGCTAATCCTTCCTCAAAGTGACACTGCTCATTCCTCTTGCAGTGCCTGTACTTCCTTCCTGGAGGACGAGCAGGAGGTAAGGGCATGGGAAGTTGGCCATGGTGTGGAGTCCCATCTAGTGTGGGATCCTACTGTGGACTAACACCCTCCTTGGCCAGAGAACTAGCAATGAAGCAGGGATACTGACATGAAAAAGGAAAGTCAGAGGAAAGGCATAAAGGAACTGTCATCATGATTTCCATCCAAAGGCCTGGGTTTGTTTCTTCACCTGAAGGGCCTCAACTGAAGGGCTTTTCTGCCCCCAAACTCAAACCCTCATCAAGCTTATTGTTTGTTTGCTTACTTTCCAACAGGATAAAAATACAACCCAGAGAATGATTTTTAGTAGCTTCACATTTTTTCAAATGTTGCTCCAAGGGGTCTCTCTTGCTTTACTGCGGTGCAACTGGAATGAACTCCAGTCTCTTGAAAAGAATTTCAGTTTCAAGGCTATACTTTTTGTTTTCACTGGACTGGTGAAGGTTCCATTTGCCCTTCCCAGGGCTGAGCCCCAGCAATATGCTTCCCCATGCAACCTCAGGCTGATTAAGAAGAATCTCTTGCCTTGGGAGAACTGTGGGAAGTTTGATCTCTATATTCATACAAACTCTGCCCTCCCTCAGACTGTCAACAAAAGCTCCAAGTAGCTGTGCCCACCATTTATTTTGATAGTCGCTTGTTTATTATGAACAGAATTACATTCCTAAACCCATTTTGCAAAGACTAAGAAAAAAATGTCTGCTGAGCACAGCACAGCATCTGACAGGACTTTCACTAGCAGAGGTCAAAGGGGTGATGCTGCTGCACAGCATTAGAGGCACACAGTCATGGGGGAAATGGTTTTCCTGAAGTTGTACAGTAGAGCAGTTGCAGAACTAATGTAGAAGCCAGTTGTAAAGACCAACAGTCCAAACTTGCAGTAATCCAAGGCCAAAGTCTCTGCCTGTCCCACTGCCCAGCTCTGCACACACATAGGCCACTCAAACCTCTCTGAAACAGCACACCACAAACCTGTCTTCTTGTGAATTAAGTATAACTGGGGGAACCCAAGATGTAGACTGAAAACCAAATCCTGGTGCTCCAGCCACACTCAGAAATATTCCCAATGTGCTAATACAGGGCTCAAGTTTGCCCACTAAAAGGGCGCTAGAAGGCAGCACCCCCAGACAATCCTGCTGTCCATCAGGTACATCCCTAACAGCTGGCAACTAAAACATGAGGACAGCTTTGGACACTGTGTTGTGAGGGCACTGAACTCTCAGCTCCAGCTGGCTTCAAAAATACAAAGGGATGCACAGCACTTTACAAAGGCTAAAAATACCTAGATATAAATTGCAAGGAATAAAATGTGAATTAAGGTAAATAAGTGATGAATAAGTCAATGTCTAAAATGAATGGCTTGAGATCGTTATGAAGGTGGATTCCCTTAGAGAATTCTCACCATACTACCTTGGTACCTTCATGAGGCTCTGAAACTTGCTTTTATATTGACTTGTGAGCTCTGTGATTTGCAACTTCAGTTTCTAGAAGCTGCCCTTCTCTTCAGTCACTGAGACTCTGCCATGACTTAAGAATGAAGATGGTTACTTGTTAAATTAGAGGTCAATTAACTCCACCAGTAGATGATGCCACTTGCAATAACTGTTCTCAGTGGGTACCACTCTTCCTGTACAGAGACAGAAGAGGAAACGAGGCCTCCATTGCCTCTGGATGTTCTCTCGGGTACATGACATACAGCCCTGTGCATAAAATGTCAAAACATCCCTGTCGGAGATTCACTGCCTGCTAAAACTGTGAAGATCTCACAGCACCGTGGATTGCTGTTGACAGAACAGCAGCGCCCAACATAACACATGCCTTGTTAGCAAACTGGAAGCCTCTCAGTAGTCTGGGGTGAGGGAATAATAGAGGAAGCCAATGCAACACAAGCCAGGCCTGTGGAGAATAGCAAGTGAACGAACCTTGGCGGAGAGTCCAAGCAAAGCCTCAGACTAGTTCTTTTTCCCCCCTTTCAAACTCTCTCTTCTGCAAACATGGGCAGTTTTCAATGAGCGCTTCCCACCATGTAACTCAGCTGCTGAAATCAGCAGCATTTTCACCAGAAATGCTCACAACTGGCACAGCTGGCCTGTGCAAAGCACTGGGAACACCCAACTGCTGCTTTTCAAACTAGACCTAAGGCTGACCATGACACTGTGGCTCCTCCCATGCAATCAGCTGTGCCCTTGCTTTTGGCACTCCTCTGGGCCACAGAGCTCCCCAGCCAGCAGTGGGACACCACAGGCACACCAAGGCCTGGGCAGGCACACAGGTGTGCTTTGAGGCAGGGGGAGGCCCTGTACCACTGTGGTTCTTGGCTGTGGCTTCCTCTGTCCCTGCCTTCCAGTGCCCCCATAAAGCACTTTCATGCTCCAGCAGAGCGCTATGACATCTCAGCCTGGCGAATGCTGGGCCATCCCAGGGAGCCAGCACTGCTTTGGCAAGGCTGTGAAACAAAAGAAACATCAGCCTCAGAAACACGGCTTTATTCGCTGCTGCTGAAGAAACAAAACCTTTATGTGCAGTAACTTTGCTTTAAACAATAACATTTGTGGATCCTGTTCTTAACCTTTTGCATCTGGTATTCAAACTCTGCCCTGCTTTTTTTCCACGTGAAAGACTACAGATCTTATTTTTGTTTTGGTGCTGGTGTGCAACGCTGCCAGAGAAGTGCATTCAAGCTGGCACAGACCAAAGCTAGTGAGCCACCCAAATTATTGTTGGGTGGTTCAGTCCCTCTCTATTTCAAGAAGCCTCTGGGTATAATGACAGGAAGCTTGCAGGCAATTTTAAGCCAAACCTCAGAGAGGCTGGCATTCGGTCTGTGTTAAACACTCCTTATTAAAAGCTGTCCAGTCCGGATTCTGGGTGGAACTTTGATATCTGCATGGAGTAAAGAATAAGGGGCACGTTTGCAAAATCAATTGTGCAGTTTTTATATTTACTGCACGTTTACCACATATGTCATTTATTACACAGTGGAAAACCGTTAAATGCACAGTAGTTGTGCCAAGTGGCATTATGCTTTTAACAGCTTTATTCGTTTAACAGCTCCAGTTCTCATTATATTTTGCCATGTGGTACATGAGATTTTTATGCATTTAACAGTTTAAGAGGGTTCCATGGTATTTTCCTTTTATGTATTTCATACTGAGCCTGGGATTTGGTTGGGGGGTAGAGGCACTGTAACCCCTGTACCCTGACAAGAGAAAGCAAAAGGCAAAGGAAATTAATGATTACATGAAGAAAGAAAAATTAATCAGATCCCCATGTGTCAGGACACAAATACCTGTAACAAGGACACGGCTTTCCCATGTGCTTTGATAGCCTTGGATGCTTTCTTTTATGCCTTTCAACCTCTTATTTTACATTTACTTTAATGACTATAATGTTGTTTCCCTACATAGAGGGAAGAGTGTGTTTTTCAGAGTGCATGCACCTAGATACTTCTATCCCACGCTCTCATTGTCACGTGCACATTTGTGCATTTTTGTGTGCATATTGACGCCCTCTCCTAGCTGAACTGAATAATTTCATCCAGGATCAGAAGCACCTCTTTTCACTGCATAAACAATTCTTTCCAACAATCTCCAATCCACTTGCTGCCCTCCAAAAAAATCTGTCTGTCCTCCTTTCCACAAAATCCCTTCTGGTGCATTATATTTTTTTAAAGAGTTGGATGAAATTTTTAAATTAATGGATTCTCTTCAAGAATTTCACCCTGACCTAGGTTTGCCTACATGTATTTTTTACACCCAAGGTAGAAATGAATCTAGCAGAATTCACTGCAGTGCCTTTTCATGCCTTTTTGTAGAAATGATTGGATCCGATGTGAATTATTCACATGGCAATGCTGTATGCAGCACATACAACATGCTAAAAAGGAAACACCTGCCTAATATGCTGTGTCCCATTGCCTTCCCTCAGTTAACCACTTGAGAAAGCAATTTTATTACTTGCTGAATGAGTAGATACCACCATTTTGAAAGTTCCTTGTCCTACTAGCAAAGGTGTAAGTTATGTACCACACGTGGGAAAAGACAGACGTGTTTGCACAAAAGGGGAGAAAAAGCTTGGCTGTGAACTGACCCTTTCCTCAGCCTCTTTCAAAAGGGAAAAGGAAAGTACTTAAGCAGGCAAAAGCCAAACATGACAGGCTCCTCAGAGATGAAAATTATTATTATTGTGGGAACAGATGTAATTTTATTGGTAGGAGGAAGAGATTAATCTAGTCCTAACCCCAGAGTTTGCTTTAAAAACAAAACCCCAGAAAGCCCCACAACAATGAAATCCCCCATACCACTCACCTGACTTTTATTGGCAGCCACTTTGGCAAACAGAGCTTGAGATACCTTGGCCCTTTTCATCTCCTGTTGGATCTCATCATAAATGGCAGCTGTGATGTTGACGTTGGCGCTGTCCGCCTTAATGGGGAGGTCTGTTGTTGGTGTCGAGGTTTTGGCCTACCAAGAGACCATGAAAATAATAATTAAAAAAGTGCTGCTTTCAGCCCAGCCATCTGTGCAGAAATTATCAAAGGATTTCAGTCAGCTGATGCCAAACTGCATTAGCTACAGAGGGACACTTCCTGTCCATTATTCTAATCAGGTTAATTGTGATTGGAAATAATTGCAGTGCATTCCTATAGGACATGCAAGGCCCTGTCAAGTCTCCCCCTCTCCCTCTCCCAGCATGTTTATTGAGCAGCTCAACAACAGGATAGGTAGCTGGAGCACTGGGCTGCAGGCAAGCGCTGACATTGGCTTTGCCAGCCAGCTACTGCAGCACAGCTACCAGGCTCTACCTTCTCCCCCCCCTCTAAAAGTGACCTACACCTTGGAGGAAGAGCCAATTCTCCCAGAAAAAATGAGTAAATGGGTAGAGGTCTCTAAATAATAAATTATTACTCAATTTAATGCACTCCCTCAAGTCTCCCTCATTCTTTATTAAAACTATACATATGTCACTTGAGTATGTATAGTTTCCCAGCCTTATCATCATTATGCTAGCCAGACAGTCACCTAATTTCACCTAGGAAATCACTGGAAATGAAAAAAAAAATCATTTCATAAAGCTGGGCTTTGGCATGCCTTTGATGTGCTGCCCTCATTCTCCTAAACTCATATTGAGATTTTGTGTATTCCGCTGCACTCCTTTTAATTGAATGATTTCCCATCAGCTTCTGTGACAAATGAAGGACAATAACGGATGCTGCCAGCACTTTCCCTGGGCTGGACTACCCCTGCAAGGCTCCTATCAGTACAGTTCAGAAGACTGCTGCAGGATGTCAATTTTAAAGTCCCTTGTACTGGTGGTCCCCAGAATGCACTGGCAGGAGAGGGAGTGAGGGTGGTGTGATGCTCACTGAGTGCTCCCAGCACCAGCTGCCCCTTGGAGACAGAGCTCATTCACTTTCCTGGCCTCAAAGAGGAGAGCTACCAGGGCTGATCACTGCACCCCTTACACCCTTTAAGGGAAATGTGGGCTACTGATAAAAAAAATCTGTTTTGTCTTGAGACCTAAAGGTCTTAGGAAAGAACACAACCTAAATGGCGAAGTTCACACTTTGCAATAGAACCAAACCACCCATACACCCCAGTGACACTCATATTTGGCCTAATTATGAACCTTTTCAGATGGATCCGATTTTTACGTCAGAGTTAAGTCTGCTAGAGTACATCTCATGTTAATTTTTAACTAGGCAGACATGCCCAAATGTTTATTTGTTAATAGGAAGGTTAACTAGGCAAAACCAAACCTTCTGAACTACTTCTTCTCTTTTGTTGCCCTCCAAATCTTCCTCTTCCTGACATCTCTTCTGTACCGAGGCTTCATTAATAATGGAGCCAAAATCCAATTAAGTCAACACTCTGGACTAATCACTCTTCCTTACGACTTCCAGATAAAGCCTTAACGAACCTGTATCTTCTCCTTTTCCAGGCTCAGCAGGCACTGCTCTGGGCTTGCTCCCTGCCTATCATAGGCAGGACACATGCAAAAAGAAGATTTTGCTGCTCCCTAAGGCCAACCCAGTGTGCAGGCAGAGGCAGCTGGACAGCAGCTGGGGCAGAGCACGGCCACCATGCCCCAGGAGGCCAGGACTAAATCACTGCCATCCTCAGGCCATGAGCTGGGTACAGTGCAACACAGGGACCGACAGGGACACCCCGCTCTGAAATTCAGTGTTTACAGATAGATGAGAGTCAGGGCAATTGTGGGAAATGAAAGAAAACAACATAGAGTTCATGGAAAGGAAAACGACTGTCCAAGTTTGTCAGGACTGATTTAATGGAGATTTGTCAGGTATAAAAAAAAGTCTTCCCAGGCACTGGAGCCTTTGGCTAGCACAGCAGCCGAGGTCACCATGACCTCAAAGGCTGTTATGGATGTCTGAGATCCTGAGAAGAACAAAATTAGCATGTAAAAGAAAGATTTAAAATGTAACTCCATCCTGTATGGGTCTCATAAACCTCTAGGTCCACAGCCACATGTCAGGAAAAAGCCTGCCGTGCACACCCTGAAAGCTGCACCATTTTTTATTTAATCACCAAAATAGGAAGGGCAAATACCAACCAAAAGCCACTAAAATAAAGTATTTAATGTTAAAGGCCTAGATTCAAAGCTGGTCTTGATATTAAGGAGTTTACTACTACTGAAACATCTCAAATAGCGAGGAAAAAACCAAGTGTTTGCAACCACAGTGTCAGAGCACTGCAACCTAGCCCCTTGCTGCTAGGGTTCTGTGAGCACACAGCAACTCCCAACAGCTCAGAGCATCTCCCTCACAGCAACTGTACCTCATTTTTTGGATCAATCTCTCATTCTCACCTTGAGGCAGGTCCTGAGCCAGGGACATCCCAAAAGGGTGGCTTGGGGCTGGCTCAGAGTCAGGGAAAGCTGAGCTGGGTTACTCTGCTTGCCCTTACACCGGCCTGCATAACAGTCCCAGCCCAAGCATTTCCACAGGTATCTGCCATTCCTCTCCTACCCAGCACACTCCATCCCAAAAGCATTGCTGCACGATATCGGTATCTATGGAAACCATGTTTCCAATTGCCATTCCATCACCTTCTCTGGCACACTGACACAGTTCCTGCACGGCTGGTACAGCTCCTACCCCTTGCTGCCCCAAAGCACCCTGCTCAGGGTAGGTAAGAGAGCTGCCTGGGGAGCTGACGCTGCTGGAATCGCGGCGCTGCCTGCGAGGACGGCATTTGTCTTGTCAGAACTAATACCAGGCATATGGGGAAGCGCAGTAGCCGTGCTGCCTGCCCGGGAGCTGGGAAGAGCCTCATTTGCAGAGGTGTCCAAGTTGTCAAAACAGCACCTGTGCTGACTGGTGCTGGCCCTCTGAGGGCTGGGGAAATGTTACACAGCGGGCACAAGGCGAGCGCTGGGTACACAAACCTTTGTGTGCTGCTTTTGCTGATCAAAAACCTCACAATATTCTATTGGATTCTTCAAGCTGAAATAAGGCAAGTATGTGCTGGTTTATACTTCGAGAGTACGGTTTTCTAGCAACATCTTGCTCTTACAAAGGCAGGCAAAAATTCCATTATTTTAAATTATGTTCTAGCTGTGTCTAGAGCATGGGAAAATGGCATATTTCAACACAGGAACGAAACGGGGCAAGAGATCCGATTCTCATTCTCATCGGATTGCATTTAAACTCTCAATTTCCTTTCAGTGTTTGATTCTAGTACAAAACCTATTGCAGTAAATATAAGCAGGAGTAAGCTAATTCTTTAATGAAACAATACCAATGCAGAAAGTGGCTACACTATTTAAACAGTAAAATAGTATACCCACTATTAAAATCCCTATATATTTTTATTTTCACTTAAAGGTGACTAAAAAAGATAAGGAGAATACAATGAGTTTCCCATGTACTGAAAATTCAGTGTCAAATTTGGGTTGGCAGGATAAGCTTGCTTTCAGTGAAAACAGTTCTTTATATCATTTATTCAGTGAAGTGCACCTACATGTCTGGGTTAATCTGAACAACCTCAACAGTTTCTACAAAATCAACACACTCTCCCTAAGGATGGTCAGCTTGAATGTAAAACTTCACTCCCCCTAGCAGTGCTTGCTTGCTTACTTACTTTTAGCAGCTGTGACTACAGAATTCAATGAGAAGTGATCATTGATACTATTAGAAGGGTTACACAGGCCCATTTACTAAAGACCAGTGAAGTGCTAGAACTGATCCATCATGTCTGTACCATTAGACTCAAGTCAGGCCAATGTCACGACGGGAGTTCATCAGCAGCCCTGTGCAAGCACCTTCACTTTGGGAACACATGTGGGACTGCATCAGCCTGGTACAAGGGGGTATAACTTTTACAGTGTAGTTTGGGGATGCTCTTTCTTAGTGCAAAGGAATAACCTACCCAGGGAGGAGTGGACAGCAGCAGCACATTAATAAACACATGCAGTTAAGTCAATGAGATAACAGCTGCTTGGAGCTCTAAGCATCATCTTCCTTCCCAGCCCGCTGTCCATTTCCACTTTCTGTACCTCAAACATTTACTTGTAAAAACCTCTAACTCAAAGACTGTGATTTCCTATGCAGAATATGAAGCACAGTATTTTCTAACAACATCTATCTAATGCACTATGGACCTCTGTTCACTAGACACTTTTCATGGCAACATATGTGAACCAGAAGCCCAGAAATTTCCTGTGTTCTGAAGAAGGTAATGGACACAGGTAAAAAGCTACATGCACTGTCTTTCCGTGATATATTCTATAATAGCCATTTAATGGACATATATCAACAGCCTGTCTGTAATCCCTACATGCACTCTTTCAGGCACTAATGTTACATACTCCTTTGCATTTATGGCATTGATTAAATATAGAATGATCATCACAGTGTCTTCTTGACATCCACTAAATGTCTCTTAACAGCCACTCCAAAACCTTACGAAAGATTTTCCACAACTCATCTGGGCAAAGGGAGCAGCAGACAGGGGAGGGGTGGAAAGGAACTCCTTTCCTGGAATTATCTGGACAACAAACAGGTAGCAAGGGATTGCATCTTACCTGGGGTGTTCTGGAGGAGCTGGGGCTGCTGGCAGCTGAAGACACCATGCTCACATTTGGGTTCATACTTCTCTCTCGCTCATCCTGATAGATACGATCCCGCTCTGAGTCAGGCAAGTTAAGGAAATTCTGCATTGCCCGTAAGTTTACCAGGAGGGACTGGGAGGCTGTCCTAGGGTCTTCTTCTTTACGCAGGATCTCTGACAACAAACCCTGGTTTAAATTAAAAAAAAAAAAAAAAAAAAAAAGCCAGTCATGCGTTGATGGGTTTCTTTGGTTTTTAAAAATTTGTTTAGTGTAACCAGCTGGGTTGCAATACTGAGAATCTACATCAGAATCTCATGGGCTCTCCCTGAGGGGATATTTTGTATGAAACTGTTTGTCTTCTGGGGGCTGGGGTTTATTTTGGGACTGTCCTATTCTGGCACAGTAATAAGCTTCTGAGTATGGAGACGCTGGATAGGAAGGTAGGTGCACTGGTTAGAAGAAATTGCAGTTATCACCAGGTGCTTGCTGCAAATATTTTAGGAGCTGTTAGATCTCTCTCTCTCTCTCTCTTTCTCTTTTTACTTGAAGCTGGGAACGCTTGGCAATCCTGTTCATCTTTGACAAATCTGCCAAGGTTGGTAAATTTAGTTTCGACATTTAAACAGTGCAGGAGGTTTATAAAGAAAAATGTTTGGCTGGGTTTTTATGTTACAGTCCGCTCATTTCAGTTTGGACAGTCATTTCTGAAAGGAGAAAAATGAAGCAATAATAAAACATTAGAATATAGCTTCAGGGATTTAACCCGTTCTTTCATGCATCATTTTAAAATACCACAGGCTTCACATTGCAACTGTGAATGAACACCATATTAGTCTAGTTTTTACAAAAGCCATTACACAGCATTTCCAAAAAATAAAGAGTAAAAAAAAAAAAAATCAAAATAATTGGAGAGATGAAAATGTCATTAAAAGAGGCTTAAATCTAATGATGGGATTAAATTTATGCATAAAAAACTATGCACTTGCACTCAACAGTCCCACGGATTATCGACAAGTTAAAGGCACAGCACACAAGCCTGGATCAGGGCCTAGAGAAACTACCAAGGACACAGCAGGTGCCACCAGCTTCCCCCAGGCACCCCCTCATATCTGACACTTCACAAACTGGGACTTCCTTCCAAATAAAAGGAACAGCAAATTCCTGAACTATACCTATTTAAATGTACTGGTGTGCAAGGAAGAAGAGAGGGAACATTTCTGCCCATGAAGACTACTTCTATCTAAACATAACATATCATTATGATATCAAAATGATATCTTACGTTAGCATGCAATTCTAAGTGCTCATTATTTCCACAGGCTATCCTGCCAAAACGCTTCCCTGAGCCATCTGACACCGTTCCTGCTTCCCTCCTGTCCGAACCCAGAGGCTGTCAGGCTGTCTGCACTGCTGCTCCCAGGAATGCTGGCCACAGGAGCCATGTGAAATCCCAGCTGCAGCTGGGAGGGCTCACCTTGGCTGGCTCTGGGAGAGCAGCAGTTCAGCAGGAGCAAGCACAGGGACCCTGCAGGCCCCGACACGGCCCTGCTGTGGCTGTTGACACCAGTGTTTTGCAGCTCCTTCACAGCCAGCACCCAGGGCAAGCTGCTTCCCAAGGACAGGCAAGGCTTACTCCTTTCTTGTCAGAAAAATGCTACTAGAAAGCAACCAGATACCTCAAGCCCTGTAATGTTTAGTTCTCATTTATTTTCTTCCCTATCAGAGAGCCTCCTTTAAAAAGCCTTGCTAAAAGTACCGTCACCACAGTTGGCAAATTAACCAAATGCTAACATTTTTAGTATATATTGACCTTATTTACCAGTCTTCCTGACAAAATGAACTGACCAACAAATGACATACCTGTATCTCCTTTTATCTGCTATTAAATGCCTACACTAAAATACACATGTGAAACCTCTACTTCAGCAGAATTTGTACCACAAGTGCTTTAAGCAAGTTCCACACACATCCTGAAGGTAGGCTCCATCTTTTCAGTTCCTCATCTACAATTGGGAGTGGAGACACTCCCAATTACATTTTTCTGCAATGATCAGTGTGGGCACCAGAAGGAATGGAGCTGGGAATGAAATCATGGTTAGCATCACTCAGAAGTGGGATGCAATAGAGAAGCTGGCTGGTGAAAAAGATCTGCTCTCTGGGGAAAAGTTTGAAGAATTTGCCGTGCTGGGCTGGTATCTTGTGCAACCTCAACACAACTGCAAGCTCATACCTGGCTTCTTCAGAGTTTACCACCTCTCAGAGAAGTTAAGGACATTTTAAAAAGCTTTCTAAAGTTTGACAGGCTCATAGACTGGGGGAGATTAATCAAAAAAGGAGCTTGAAGCCACAGCCCACGTGATTCCAAGTCCTTATTAAAATTTTCCCCTAAAGTCAGTAAAAAATTCTTCAAATGCAGTAAGTAAAGGAAATATTGGTTCTACCAATTCTCTAAATTTCTAATTCCTTGTGTCTTTGAAAGGATATTTATGTAAAACTTCTTTTTAAAAGAAAAACTCAACTTCCAAAACTAATGAGTTTAGTATGAAAGAAAGGGACCTGAAAGCTACTGGAGCTGACTCTAAGACAGTTTTTCTCCCTCCCATTTTAGCCTCACTAAATTTATGGTCCAATTTCAAAAATGGAGAGCAGAAACATATGTGAAAGCATGCCAGCAATTACTTTTCTGTGCAGTCATTGACTCTGTATGTAAATCAGAGGCTCACAGGTACGAGTGGCTTGTTCATGGCACTAAGAGGTATCTCAGTGCCTGAGATATCAATCCTTATGCTTGAAGGCTGTGTTTTATCACCAGAAACACCTTATCATGGGGTAGATTTGGTGCCTGTGCTCCTGCTCCCATGAGGGTCTCACCCTGCCCTGTGACAGGGACTCAGCAGTGTTTTGCAGCACTGGTGTTCCATCAGCAGGGTGGGAGTCTCTCCTAAGGCAGGCACCTGCTCCAGGGGGGACTCGCTGCTTCCCCAGCACTGTGACACAGCAGCCCTGCTCCCCGTGCCCTGCTCCAGGCCCACAGGCAGGAAATCTGGCTGCCAAGAGGGTTTTTCTGCAGCTCTTCTAAGTGCTTTGGCAGCTTAGGGACCATGCAAACAGCAGGAGAGCTAATAAGAGAACTGACTCATGAGGGACAAATCTCATGTCCTCCTGCAACTGAAGATAAACAACAACGCTGGTAAGCAGCAGCAGATAGCTGAGTGATAGGGGAGGACAATAAAATAAAGTGTCTTGAGAGTAATAACGTTTACAATAATATAATTCTGAGCTACTGAAGTATACACAAAGTAACCAGTGAGCAACATTATAAAAAATAGAGTGATATTAAATAATCTGTTCAGCCTTTTTCTCACCTGCAACAAATTAGGCTTTCAATATGCAAAACATCTTCCTTCCAGAAAAACAAATGATCATGATTTCATTTAATTGTAATTTAATGAGGCATAATGTATTTTTTAAAGTGATATACACCAGGTGTGTGGTGAGGAAACTGGCCCAGCCAGACAAACCCTACTATTTCTATTTTCAAGAAACCCTAAAGCCAGCCAGAGACTGTTTTCATTTCTACAAATTATGTTCCTGCTGGAGGGGGTGAGGAAGGGAAACCCGCAGCATTCATAGATTTCTTATAAAATTCCACTGGCTAAATTAGCTCATTCCGACTTACTTACATCTTTCATATTAAAAAATAAAAACAAAAAAATTGGCAGTTTGCAGAGTAACCAATTCTGCAAACCTAAAAGATTATCTTCAGGGACTAGAAGGTCTCAGTATGACTTTAAATAGCCAAACAGATCTTCTACATAGAACACAGCTCCCAGGACACATTTTAGGACATGTAGCTTGATAATATATATCATTGCTTTTCCACTCCTCTGCATCATTTTTAAACCGGCTGCTGAAGAGGCAACTGATGAAGTTTAATGTTCACACAGGCTGTGCTTGCAAACAAGGGGTGTGATCACCCTGAGACAAGGGCTCTGCACAGCCTGGTTTACCCTTGGAACTTGCACTGTTTTTAAAATTACACACTGGATCCATAACTGACTTTAAGAAAATAATACCTGTGGTGGAGAAAAAAGCACATGTCCAATCAAAACAAAAAAAGTCACTGAATCTATTTAAGGAAGGAGTAATTTTGACTGTGTTTTTTCAAACTAGCTGAAATGCAGTCCCTTCAGGCCAGCAAAGTCACTGTCACAGGGGTTTGCTTTGTATTTATTCTATGAAACCCCACTTGTAAACTTTTTTACTTTTATTAACTACAGGATTTCCAGGACAAACAACCCAAACCTCACTGGCACCTAGTCTTTTTTTAAGCAGCTTCTGAGAGATGATGCAGTACAATGTGGAGTGAATGTCATTCCAGCTGACTGATATTTAGTGGACCAACTGACCAGCCCCTGAGGCAGACACAGGCTTGACCAAAGCACACAGAAGGTGAGCAAAGCCTCTGTGGCCTCTTCCCAAAGGGCTGCTGCTCAGGCCTGGAAAGGTGTCACTGACATCTCAGTGGGACAGCAGACTGCAGTGACCAAAGGCAGGACAATTTTACAACAGGAACTTTTGAAAAGCATTGTGGATGGTGGTGAGGCAGTGCTGCTGGAATGCAGCCCAGGCACTCGTGCCCTGGGGACAGAGGAGAACCAGGGCCATCAGACAGCAGGAGACTCCCAAGCACTGCACAGGGCCTCACACACATCAGGTTCGATGACCTGGATACAAGTCATGCTCTCCCTCTTACAGACCTAAGCCATTTGACTACAAAACCAGGCACTAATGTTAAAGAGGTTCAGAATAGGCTTTGGACAATCAAAACACTGGCCAAGGCAAAAATTTAAATAAACTCAACTAATGTGCTAAACCTCAGTTTATATGTTCTGTATAAGGAAATTATATATATGAAGGACTGAAAAAGCACGAACACTTTTTCAGACTTTCAGTCTATTTGTGCCTCTCCATACTTCAGTTATGGCCAAAAGCAACAGAGAAAATGCTGAAATACTAGAAAAATATTGCTTCTGCAGTGCTTAAAAGTTCCAAGTACTTTTAAGTCCTGCACTTGTACTGACAAGCCTTAATAGAAAAGCTATTCTGCTTTCCATCAGGGATAGATGTGATCCTGAGCAGGATGAGAAAACAGAGATTTAGTGAATTTCAACATCTGGATCTTA